CATTTTCTCCAGAGGAACTGATCTGTCATCTGGAGATCAGTTGTAATTCCAGGAAATCTCCAGGCCCCACCTGGAGGCTGGCAGCCCGACTGAAGAGAATCTTCCCAAAACTAGAACTGAATTCTCTCTACGTGGGGCTTCCCTCGACTCTGTTCCAGAAGTTGTAGCTAGTGCAGAACACAGCGGTGCAGGTGTTGATCTCATTGCCTGTGCGGGCACATATCCACCTGGTGCTGCGTGACCTGCACTGGCTGCCTATCAAATACTGGATCCGTTTCAAGGTGTTGGTGCTTACCTTTAAAGCCCTATATGGCCAGGACCTACCTGTCTTCAAGACCGCCTCTCCCCATAGAACGTTGCGCTCTGTGAACCAGGACCTCCTGGTAGTCCCTGGCCCTAGGGATGTCCAACTTGCCTCAACTAGGGCTAGGGCCCTTTCAACCCCGGCCTGTGCCTGGTGGAATGAACTACCTTATGAGGTCAGGGCCCCGTGAGCCCCATTACAGTCCCGCCGGGCCTGCAAAATGGAGCTCTTCCACCGGGCCTTTAGTTGAGGCAGCAGGCATCCACTTTGATCTGGACTCCCCTCCACTAACCACAGAGTCTAGAAGCCAGATTGGGACCACGTTATTATCTGTTGAGGCACGTTGTTGTTGTTTTAATGCTGGTGATTTTATTGATTTTAATGGATTGTTATAATATGTTTTAATTGTAAATCTGCACTAATTGCAGACCTATATGTTGGTATGAGCCCTAAGCCTACAATGTGGAGAGGGCGGGGTATAAGTCTAATAAAATAAAATAAAATGTGATGCCATAGAGTCCACCCTCTCAAGCTACCATTTTCTCCAGGGGAACTGATATATGTAGTCTGAATATCAGTTGTAATTCTGGGAGATTTCTAGGTCCCACCTAGAGGTTGGCAACCCTAGGCAGAGCCATAAAAATAAGTATATCCTGGAAGGGAAATCTTGGCTAAGATTGTCACTAAAATCCAGTGAATATCCTCTTAAATTATTTGCAATATATTTAGATGTTTTTAGAGCTGGTATTTCATTTATTACTGGCTGCCAAAATTAGGATATAAACATGGAAACATCCAGAATCAGCATATATTCATGAATTGTTGAATTCATTCAAAAGGTAGCAAAAATGGCAAAATGCATAAACTTCATGCTAACTTAAGGACAGCAACAGAGTAATATGTTTCAGGAGCACTTATATTTATTTATATTTGATCCAGAAATATGGTGAAGATGTTAAATCTGCATTTTAAGCATTTTTGTTGTTGTTCAGTTGCACAGTCGAGTCCGACTCTTCGCGACCCCATGGACCAGCTCCCGCCAGGCCCTCCTGTCTTCCGCTGTCCTCTGAAGTTGGCTCAACTTCATGTTCGTTGCATCGATGACACTGTCTAACCATCTCATCCTTTGCTGTCCCCGTCTTCTTTGACCTTCAATCTTTCCCAGCATCAGGGTCTTCTCCAGTGAGTGCTCCCTTCTTATTGGGTGGCCAAAGTATTTGAGCTTCAGTTTCATTATCTGGCCTTCCAGGGAACAGTCAGGGTTGATTTCATTTAGGATTGACTGATTTGATCTCCTTGCAGTCCAAGGGACTCTCAAGAGTCTTCTCCAGCACCATAGTTCAATTTTAACAGTAGTTCAATAGCAGTATTATTCATTCTTATTTACACAGTAGTTTTAGTATAGAGTATTTTACTCAGCCATTCAATTTTGCATTTCCAGGTGTTCCATCCTTCATTTTGCTTATTCAGATAAAACTAGATGGAGATGTAGCAATATAGCACTGTCCAAAGCCTCCATCCACACATATTAAATGAATAAATCACAGAGTGCATAGTACTACCCAGGAGAAACACTTGTCATAAATTTCTCCCAATCCTGACCATATACATTTACTGATAAGCCCTATTGATTTCAGAGCTTCTGTCTTAAAAATATAATAGACGTATTTTTCCTGACAAAGGGAAGAATCCACATGTACCCCTTGCATAAGCAGAAAGCATCTCCCATGAATATGTGGGGAAGATACTTCGTTCTAAAGCAGTCCTTTGTGTCACTCAAAGGCTGCCCCTACCTGGAGTGGGGTTCAGAGCTGCTGGAAAGGGGGGCTGAAAAGCCCAAATACAGGTGCTCTGGATCTGAGCCAATGGTTCTGTGCCTTTAATATATCTCCTAGGGGCAAAATGTCAAGAGGTGCAGATTTTCCCCATCAACTTATTCCTAAGGCAAGAAAAGCTGTTCCTGTTGCTTTTCATTCAGAATTTTTGAACAAACACTTTCCACACAGCTGCTAAATAGACTGATGGGGAAAGGTACCAACACTGGTAAAAATATAGTATTGAGCTTAATGGGGGGGGGGGGGCAGAATTCAGCCCTGGAACTTGTTTTCAAAGGAGAAGCCACAGCAACATGAAAAGAAACAATAAAGATTGGTGTCTTTGGGCGTGTTCAGAATACCTTTCACTTTGCTGCCAAGCCCACCCAACATGACACAGAAGCAGAATAAAGGGGGAGGCAGGGCCAAAGTTCCCTCTAAGCTGTGGAGTCTTGTGAGCAACTGGCATTAAAGTTGTGAGCAAGCGATTTGGCTGCTGCATTAAATTAGTTTGGTCTGGAGCCGTCCTTCCTGAGCGAAGACCAAAATGTCTGAGCCGGAGGCTAAACAACTGTGAGCTAGCTCACACTAACTCAGCTTAGAGGGAACACTGGAGGCAGCACTACCTGGGATAGCATTCAGTCCCAGGACCTCCCATTTAAAAAAAAACAAAAAACACTAAACATGATCAATATAGTGTCTTTTATTGAAACAGGTTGCTTACAAGCTGCCAGCTTTCAAATCTTATAGTGGTTTCCTTCAGGCATAGGTATTAGAAGTGGGGGACAAAGGAAGATAGATTCGGTTTCTGACATAGCTTGGCAAACAAATTGAGGACCTGAATGCTTGAGAACAAAAGAAACCCTCCAGATGCTATGCCATGATTCAGTCAAGGTTGAATTGACGGAGCAGTAATTTGGGATTCCCCTTCCAAAGTCAAATACCCTTTAAAAACAAAACAGAAAAAACAAGAGTCTTGTGGAACCTAAAAGACTAATGGTTATTGTGGTGTATACTTTCTCACATTTTTTAAAATTTAAATTAAGCAACTCTCTGTCTCTAGTTTTTGTAAGGTTTCACTAACCCCAAGTCACAATATAGATACAGCAAAAGCAACATATTTGTTTGGGGAAACACTCCAGGGAGACCCAATTTAAATATAAAGGGTTATTATGCTAAAAGCCCTCAAAGGGTACACCCTAATATATGAATTTCAACTCCACAAAATTCCAAGTAAGGGAGGCAATACTTCAGAAATCTGCCCCTTGCTTATTTTTCCTTTGTGGATTGCTTCCATAATAAAATATACTCAGATTGACTTATTCCAGATTCACTTAAACCATCAACATAAATGTTAAGTGATCTAAACTGAAGTATAAAATTATGAAAATGTTATTTTAGAGGTTGAACTGGAATTATTTTTGTTTAGATTTATGGACTAAGGATAGCCCAAACACAATTGCATTTCATCAAACAGGGATCCTTATTTTCTGAAGTATGAAGTTTGACTATACCCCTTGTCTGTACTGGAAATGTGCTGTAAAAATTAATTTGGCGTAAATGGCTATGTTAATATTGGCTGCATACCAAACACCTTGAGCATTAATACATTTACTTGCAAGTAAGTCTCACAGACCACAGTGTAACTTTATTCCACATAATGTTTTCGGGATCGGAATAGTCATCAAAAAACTAGAGTTACTCTGGTTTCTTTAAACGCAGACTGAATGCATCTCCTGTACCTAGAGCAGCACATTTCAACACCAGACAATAGGATTATTATTTTTTAAAAAAATAGCAGCACAACCATATGAATGTTTGCTCAGGAGTAAGTCCCAGAGGTGGAACTTACTTCGGTGTAACTATGCATAAGAAAGGACTGCATGACAAAACACAGGCATAGGGCCACCCTTTAGCCACTCCAAAGTTCCATTAACATTTAAATGAAGATACAAATGGTTTCGAAATCTGGACCCACCCCTGTGAGGCTGTTTCTATTTACTTCAAGCCTTGCAAAATTAATCTAATCAGACCAACGAACATCGGTGATTAGTGCCTGTGCTGGATTCTGTGATGAAAAGAAAAGGTGAAGTTCACACGACGGGCTTATATGATCCAAACATCCCAGCCAACCCGGTTTCCCTAAACCTGCCCACTTGCGGGCAGATCAGGACACGGGGGTGCTGGTTTGAGGGCCCCCCCCCC